GCCTCCTGGACTGCCTCGCCTGCAGTCAGGAGGCAGGCCGTGTAGTACATAGGGAGTCCCATGCACTTCACGGGTAGGTAGTTGGGCAGTAGGCAAGAGTAGTCTTCAGGATTCAGTGCATCACTCAGGAGAAGCGCTGCAAGGGAGTAGCTTAGCGCTAGCAGTAGTCTTCAGCGCTGGGAGCTAGTAGCCATAGCCATAGTCTTCAGCGCTGGGCGCTAGTAGGAGGTAGATACTAGAGTTGGGAGAGATGGCTGGCGGAAGCCAGCGAGACTTACTTGTGGCGCCATAGCTCCAGCTCCAACTTCACAGGTTAGTACTGGACTGAGAGAGAGAGAGAGAGAGAGAGAGAGAGAGAGAGAGAGAGAGAGAGTTCTTCTTCCTCTTCTTCTAAGTCCACCATCTCTTCTCCCCCTCTCACCACCTGACTTCTCAGTATCAGCGGACTACTACAGAGAGAGAGTTGTGACTTGAGACTTGACGACATTGGATCCAGACTCGACATTGGGATTCAGACATTTTGACGAGGGACTATTTGGGTCTGTGCCGAAGACTTGGTGTTGACGACATTCCCATCTTCCCCTCTTCTTCGTCTAACCCCCATCTCCTTCGTTTGTGTATGGTTGGGGCTGGCGCAATCTTCCTGTGTGAAGCGCCAGACCCCTTCACACCATGGAATGATGATGATGGTGTATGTTYGGGGCTGCATTGCAATATTGATTGTTCGGATCATTGGTATCTAAGTCTTCCGCTACGCTATCTTGTACTTTGTATTGAGAGGTCGGTTCTTGTTCTGGTCTGCACAGTTACAGTATGCAACAGTTTGGTATCGGAGCAGACCTCTCATTCAGAGGACCCGCTCAATCAAGTAGCCAGCTTGCTTAATCTAGTGATCACTCATTAGTAAATCAAGTAGGACTTCGTCAAATCTCTGGAAAAAAAAAATTATCACAACAACTATCTGAAAATTTCTGATATTTGCATTTCGTTTTACCTGAAAATTTCTGATATTGGTATTTCGTTTTTACGTAACAAATATCTGAAAATTTTTGATAAATCGCATTTCGTATTGTCTGAAAATTTCCGATAGTAGCATTTCGTTTCTCTGATATTTCACATACATAGCCGAAAATTTATGAGGTTAGTATTTCGTTTTCTAGGCATATTGGGATAATGATAGAAGTGTAGAAGTGGTCATATTCTCGGAAACCGAAATTATTCTTTTCTGAAAATCGAATTTCCATTCTATCTCGCAATTTTTTTTTTTTTTAAACTCGAAATCTTGCGAAGCCTACCAACATTTCGGTAGGCATATTCAGAGGTTGCCATATTCTCAGAAACTGGATTTCGTTCTTTCTTAAAATCGCATCTTTACTCTTTTCGCAATTTTTTTTTTCCAAAGATCGCATTTTAGTGAAAGCCGAAACTTTGTGGAACCTAGCCTAGATCTCGTTCATAGTACTTTTCTGACATGTCTCAGTCATAATAGATCGACAAATATACAAAAAAAAAAAAAAGGAAGTAGTCCTCTTTTATTTTTTTATTTTTTATCTGTTGATTAGGGCCGGGAGGAAAGTATTGTTGGGTTGGTTCCCTACCTGCGTTTTCCCTCCCCACCCACCCTTTGCATGCATTTTCGAGTCAGCAACAGTGCCACGTCAGCAGTGCCACGTCAGCAACCGTGCCACGTCAGCACTGCCACGTAAGCAGTGACCTGCCACCATGACGGGCGCAGCTCTGGGCATGCCAGGCCAACTGGCCAACGAGTCTCTTGCCGACTACAAACAGCGGTTCCAGGCTCAGCTCGCACTAATCGAGGCTGAGGAACAGCGCCAGCTGGCAGCCGAGGCTGCCCGCCTACAGGCTGAAGCAACGGCAACAGCTGAGAAGCAGCGGCTACAGGCTGAAGCAGACGCAGATACCCAGGCACGCCTAAAGGAAGCCCAGGTTCTTCTGCAGCGGCATGAAACCGCCAGCATCGAAAGACTCAAGTTCTGGCACTTTGAACCGTCCAACGGCGACGACGCGACACCGGAAGAGCAGCATAAGGAGTTCCTCTCCAAACTCGTGACCCGGTTGTTGTACGCTTGCAACTACCAACAGTCCGAGTTAGAGAGACAGAACCAGGAACTGCACCAACAGTACCAGGATCTGAAGACACAGCACCAGAAGTTGGCGAACCTCCGCCGGATAGTGTAGAGCCACGAGGATGCTACACGGGCACTCAATTCCCGTGTACTGGACCTGGAGCAAGCTGCACCAGGAGCACTGGCTGGCGAGTCCAGCAACGCACCCTCGAACCGCCAACTGGAGGAACGCGTCGACCACGTCGTCGCAATGCTCGGCAACATCAGCACCTTCGCTGCGCCGACCACCATCAGCAATCAGCTGGATACTTTGAAGATCGAGGTCCAACAACTGCAGTCGACGAACACGGATGGCAACAATTCAAAGCAATACAAGATGCCAACTTTTCAACTTGAGAAGTTCGACGACTACACGCATCAGGACCCGGTGCTCTGGTGGGAAGCTTTCACGATGCAACTTCGGATTCTGCCTGTCGCCAAGCACTCGTACATCGGCGCCCTGTTCATGAACTCAAAGGGCGGATGCCAGATCTGGTTAACCCACCTGGCAGCCACCCACGACGTCGACGTCGCAGATCTGAAGGACAAGATCACATGGGAAGAGTTAACACGGCTGTGGAAGAAGCGGTTCATCGTCAACGGCGCACCTGCACTCGCCATCAACCGTCTCTTCGCCATGACGCAAGGCAACACAGCAACACGTGACTGGCTCACGGAATGGCAGAAGATCGTGGCAACACCTGATCTAGACTTACCATTTTCGCATCTGCGCCGTGAGTTCTACAACAGGTCATGCGCTGCTTTGAGCCAGGCACTTGGTGATCGCGAGCAGTATGCAACTTTCGCCGAGATTATTGACAAGGCGAGAAAGATCATCAAGACCAACAGGGCGGCTGCACACGAAAAGTCAACGTGGCAGCCAACCTATGTGGAGAAGGTAAGAACTGGTCCGCGACCGCAGCAGTTCGCTGTAGTCCAATCGGACAATGTGGAAGACCCGACAGCCACCCAAGCGTCACGTGAGGGAGATCAGGTGGCTGCTGTCCAGCCGTGAAGCAACAACAAGTCCCGAGTAAATGGGAAGGCGAAATCAGCATCGCAGGCCGGAAACGGACAGCCAGCACCACCATGGGTCAAGTTCAACTTGACCGAGGCCAAGTACAAGTTCCGCGGCCGTTACGGCTGCTGTTACTGGTGCAACAACACCAAGCACAAGACCTCTCTTTGCCAGGATCAGGCCAAGGAGGATGTGCGGCCTCGTCTTAGCTCGGGAAACTGAGTTCCGCGGGAGGTGAGGCGACTCCACCTCCCAGGCCGCCAGATTCGGCCGCCTTGCTAGCGGCTTCCTACACATCTGGGGAGGATGCGAATGTCGTAAGTTCTCGTTATGCTTACGAGGACTATGTTGTCCACTTGGTCCCACCACTGGACCAACCGCTCCACGTGCAACAATCTACCGCATGCACGGTTTCATCACCATCGGCAACCGATTCGGCAGCTTCGCCGCCATCTACCGCCAGGGATTCAACGTCATGGTCAAGACTTGAAGAGCTCGACCCGTTGACAGTTGCGGACTTCCAATGGATGCCCCTTCCCCGGTCCGATCGATTGCCGAAACCGCGTTGCAACGTGCTCATGGCACAATTGCGGGATTACTTGCACACTTCAGTACCGACTCCGTTGATGGACGCCGAAGTAGAGGTTGTCGACCTTCACGCCTACATTGCGAAGATTGACCGCGAGTTCAAGACGCAACGGTACGACCACATCGACACACCATTGTTATATGTACGCATTCAGATCGGAGAGGCGACCTGCAGCGCTTTGATCGATTGCGGAGCATCTCGCAACTACATGAGTCAGGACTTCATGGTACGCGCCGGCCTTGGCCCACAAGTCCGAAAGAAGTCCCAGCCCACGCAAGTCACGTTGGCGGACGGTCACACGCACAAGTTAATCGACCGGTGCATTGACGACGTCCCAGTGTACTTTGCCCCTCACGCAAATGAGGCGGTGTCCTTTGACATTCTGGACACCAAATTCGACATGATCTTGGGCATGTCATGGCTGCGAAGCGAGGATCACCCGGTGAACTTCTACCGCCACACCGTTCACGTTCGTGATCGAAACGGAGTACTAGTCCCATGCACCGTGGCTCCTCCTCACCCTTCTATCAGTTGCCACGTGGTGTCCGCCGCAAGCATGCGAGCATCCATCATCAGTGACGACATCGAGGAGATGGGGGTGTGTTTTCTCCACGCCCTCCCGCCCCATGACGCTATGTCGACGGACTCATCTTCGGACCCACGCATCACCGAGCTTCTCGACGCCTACAACGACGTGTTCGAAGGCCCGCACGGAGTAGTACCGGATCGGCCCATCCGCCACGAGATCATCCTCGAGGACGGGGCCGTACGTCCGCGCGGTTGCATCTACCGAATGAGCGAGGAAGAGTTAAGTGTGCTTCGGGCACAACTCGACGACCTTCTAGAGAAAGGTTGGATTCGGCCTAGCTCATCGCCATACGGTGCTCCTGTTCTCTTCGTCCGGAAGAAGAACAAGGATTTGCGGTTGTGCATCGATTATCGCAAGCTCAATGCGCAGACGATCAGAAACGTCGGCCCTCTCCCACACATCGACGACCTTCTCCAGTGACTGGGCGGCGCCAAGTTCTTCGCCAAGCTCGATCTCAAGTCAGGATATCACCAACTCTAGATTCGGCAGGAGGACCGCTACAAGACCGCGTTTAAGACGCGATATGGGCATTTCGGATGGCTGGTTATGCCATTTGGCCTTACGAATGCCCCGGCCACTTTCCAAGCGGCTATGACAACGGAGTACCGACACATGCTGGATCGATACGTACTTATCTACCTCGAGGACATCCTGGTGTACAGCCAGAGTTTGGCCGAGCATGTGGAACACCTGCGCACCGTTTTGGAGCGGCTACGACAAGCCAAGTACTAAGCCAACCGCGACAAGTGCGAATTCGCGCGGCAGGAGCTGGAGTACTTGGGACATTATGTGACGCCGCAAGGCATCCGTCCGCTTGTGGACAAGATCGAGGCCCTACGAGTATGGCCCGAGCCCACCAACACCACGGACGTTCGCTCACTCATGGGATTGGCGGGCTACTATCAGCGATTCATCACCGGATACTCAAGGATTGCTGCACCTATGACGAGATTACAATCGCCAAAGGTGCCATTCGTATTCGATGACGACGCACACCGGTCATTCCAAGCACTTAAGACGGCTGTGGTCGTGGCACCCGTCCTTAGCATCTATGACCCCACCCTGCCTACGAGAGTGACGACTGACGCTTTCGGCTATGGCATTGGGGCAGTCTTGAAACAGCACGACGGCGACGACTGGCACCCTGTGGAGTATTTCAGCCACAAAGTGCCTCCCATCAACTCGCTTGATGATGCAAGGAAGAAGGAGCTGCTCGCATTCGTCATGGCTCTCAAGTGATGGCGACACTTCCTCCTTGGGCGCCGTAGGTTCACATGGGTTACGGACAACAACCCACTGACTTACTACAAGACGCAGGATACGGTGAGCAGCACGATTGGACGATGGATGTACTTCATCGACCAATTTGACTTCACACCGAAGCATCTTCCCGGCCTCTCCAATCGCGCAGCAGGTGCACTCTTGCGAAGACCTGATCTTTGCGCTATTACACATCATGCCTTCGCATTCGACGAGGAACTCCAACGACACTTCATCAGGGGCTATGAGTCCGATCCAGATTTTGCCACGCTATATGCGCAGCTATCTTCGGATCACCCGCCGGCCAGCCACTATCGCATCGCCGATGGGTACTTGCTCCTGCACTCGCGGGGCAAGGACTTACTATGTGTCCCACGCGATCGCCGTCTTCGGACTCGCCTCCTCGGCGAGTATCATGATTCGCGACTCGCCGGCCATTTCGTAGTCAACGCACTATTGCACGACTTCGACAGCGATTCTGATGGCCCGACCTCATCATTAACGTCACGAGGTATTGCGACTCTTGCGAAGTTTGCCAACGAAGCAAACCCCGCAACCGCAACCCCTACGACGAGCTGCGCCCGATGCCAATCCCGCAGGAACCCGGTCTCTCCATTGCCATGGATGTCACCGGACCATTTCCCCGCGACCGCCTCGGACACGACGGCATCCTCACGGTTGTGGACCGTTAGAGTAAGTATGCGCGTTTTCTCCCTTGCAAGTACTACTCCACGGCTCCCGAGCTGGCACGCCTCTTGCACACCGGTTGGATTTGTGGCCACGGTGTACCGGAAGACATAGTCAGCGACCACGACACTCGCTTCATGTCGGCATTTTGGACTGCTCTCATGCAGGAGTCCGACACGAAGATGAAACTTAGTTCGGCTCGACATCCACACACGGACGGGCAGACGGAGCGGGCACATCAAACCGCTCAAATAATGCTTCGTACGCTCATCCGTCCGGACCAGAAAGATTGGGTTGACCGCCTCCCCGACATCGAGTTCGCCTACAACACTTCGGTGCACCCGGCGATCGGCGTGACTCCATTCGAGTTGCACCACGGTGGACGGAAAGGCCGTATCTTCGCCGATCTTCTCCTCCCACGACCAGCCGACATTGACGCCGCTTGCTCTCCCGCTTTCGTTCGGAAGTGCATGGAATTGCTGGCTCAGGCCCGCGCGAACATGCAAAAGGCTCAGATCCGCATGCAGCAGCAGGCCAACAGGCGTCTCGTGCCATGTCCCATCCACGCCGGTGATCTGGTTTGGGTCTCCGCGGAAGAGTTTGCACTGGAACAGGACGTTTCACGCAAACTGCTTCCCAAGTGGTTTGGACCATGGCCCGTAACAGCAGCCGCGGGCGATGAGCCTGATGACCCTTCGTTTGTGATCAACATCCCGGCGCATCTGACGGTCCATCCAGTCTTTCACGCCTCGAAGCTGGCAACATATACACCAGCTAAGAGCGACGACTTCCCAGGCCGACGATTGTAGGACCCTCCATCTATGGATGGTCATCAGGAATATGACGGCGTCATCACGGATCGCAAGTACGGCAACAAGCCGCGCCAGTACAAGGTTACATTCAGAGCATGCGATCCCGACGACACTCGGTGGATTTCAGGAACAGATTTGAAAGCATCCGCACCGCTGAGCTACGCTCACTACGAGCGACAGAGGTTAGCTCAGGGACCTTCACAACCTGCCCCTGCCACCCGGATTGTGGTCCCTCCCTCAGACAAACAGCTTTGCCCTCGCAGGTAAGCTCGGTTCTTCAAGGAGGGGGGGGTGTGGCATACTGCGTAGCCACACGGGCCCTGCAGGGCCCGTCCCGCACTGTCAGCCTAAAAGCCTAAGAAATAGGGCTTACAGGCCCCGGTCGTTTCAGCCTGAAACTGAAAAACGAGGGCCTGCAGGCCCTACTCCGTTTTCAGCCTATTTCTGGGCCTTTCAGGCCCAGAGGCTT